GGGGGGGGGGGTGCCCAGTTCATGTAATGCCACCCAAACTCATTATGGTAGACGGACTTGCTGCTTCCAGAAATTAACAAGACTCCGCCCCATTCACCCAAACTGAAATATGCAGGTCTTGTGGGGTAGAACAATTTTAATTCATATCTAACTACCCTTCATCTCCACATGTTGATGAAGTCAGTCCTGTCATGGTAAGCCAAGATTTTCTGGGCATCTGAATCTGTTTCTTTAATACGCTGTGCATAAATTCCACTAATTAGGACTGGCACAAGCTACTACTGTTAGCACAATGGAGCCTTGTTGGTGTAGTGGGTTGTGTTGGGCTTAACTTCAAGGTTGGCAGTTTGAACCCTCCAGTCGCTCTCTCAGAGACAGATGAGGCTTTCTGCTCCCATAAAGACTGACACCCTCAGAAACCCACAAGGGCAGTTCTACTCTGTTCTGTAGGGTCACTATGAGTCAGCATTGACTCACTGGCAGTAGGTTTGCTTTGATTGGTATAACACCAGTCTAAGGACTGCAGGTCACACCAAGGACACAGACCGTGGCCCTCTTTACTCTTAATCATCCTGAATCCCTTCAGTTCATTGAGAGTTGAAGTCGGAATACTATTGCTTGTCTAACCTTCTTGACTAGTTTAGAAACATAAATTGGATCATGTCTCAAGCTCAAGGAGAAAGGCAATAATGGGAAACATGAAACAGTCTCCCTTGGTGGTAATGTTCGTCTCTCCCTCTCCAGAGAAGAGTGGAATAATTTCCCTTACGAGTTTTTAAATGTCATTTTAAATTGTCAGACAGCAAATACGTGAGAGTCAGCCTGGGCTGACTTGGAAGCATTAACAACATGAGATTTTAAAATTATAAAGGTATTTTCTGGAAAAAGAAAAATTGCACGTCTTACCTCCCACCAGTAAGTAGCTGTTGGGGAAGAGTGTCTTTGCTTGCATAAGTGCCCTGGCATGGCCGGAGTGGAAGAGGTCAAATATTCCATCCGCGTATACTCTCACAGGTCTGTCAGCTATGGAAGAAAGAAAACCTTGTCAACAGAGCAGCCGAAAAAGGAGTCCAGGTTACCTGATTCTTCCATCAGTATAGCACCGTCAGAGAGTTTACCTGGATAAGACACAGTCTCTACATCCTATCAGTTTCGTATTAGTTCGTGAAACTAATTTTTAAAAGAGGTTCTTTTGGGAACATCAAAAGAGAGCAAAACAAAAGTAAAATAGAACGAGAACGCACACTTTTAGCCAATAAAAAAGACAAAGAGAGCACTATGGAGTTTCCTGAGCCAGGAGAGTCACGGTGATCAGGGATTAAAGAAAGGGTCAGCAGAGACAGTCCAGCAGGGATATCAAGGCAGTGATAACTGAGGAACTCAATGGAGAAGACAAATGGCTTCATCCTTGAGTCTGTATGTGCTGAATGAAGACCACCACCACCCCCGCCCCCCGGCTCCTGCCCTAGCTCCTGCACAGTGGTGTGCTAGAATCAGCTCACACTCACACCAAAGCCTGTTGGGTGCCTTTCTTCCCAACTCCAAGACACATGGGGTAGCCTGAAATCAGCCATCATAGAAACATTTAGACCACGGAACTTGGCAAATGCTACAAATTGGGACTCATTTCTCCTCCGACAACTGGTTAATTCACCATTTACCAGTCAACTATTATGGAAAGGTCCCTCCCTAACCTCTTTGGTATCATAAGAGACAGGGGATATATGCCCCAAGGAAGGAAAGGCAGGTTCGAAAGTTGCATGTTAGGGTCACGTTAAGGGTCAAGAATGTCGAGAGCACAGCAGACATTTTCACAGTGGCGTATGGTCTTCTGGGCAGCACCATTCCATAAGGAAGAGGGCAACACTTCGCCAAGAGATCGCCCTGGAAACTGTAGGACAGCAGTCTGGCTGACGCAGACCCAAGGCAGGGGGAGAGATCAGTGTGAGTGGAGAAACTCCATGATCCTAGTGGGTGAAACAAGTCAGAGAATTCTTTTTAACTTAGAGGGGAAGAGGCGGGCTGCAGCTCTATAGTACCCTCGTCCTCACAGTCTGGATGGTGCCTGCTACATTTGTTGGAAATTGCTATACATTTCACCAACTTTTATTCTTACCTCTTTCCGAATGATCAAAGAAAGCAAGTGAAAATTCGAGGACAGACTTCAAAAAGGGATGGATGATAGAAGAAATGATTAGTTTCTCAAATCCTAGTGCTTTTGCCTTAAGCATCCCTGCCACCTCTTCTCCATGGTTACAAACAACACGGAGACTGGTTCTTGCATGGAGAAGAAGGAAGGAGACATAAGTGGGCACGGTAGTGTTCTTCAAAAAGGAATATGCAAGCTACCAGTCAAACGTGGTGAACTGAACACACAGATTTAGCTCTGCCTCCTCCCAAAAATTGCAGGAAGAGTTCACAGGGTGTCATCCTCCAAGAGCAGAGAAAACCAGCAAGGCAATGTCCATGGATGAGAGCTGTCAACATGTTGGCAAAGTTGACTATCGCGGAGTGCCTGCAGGGAACAAGAATCAGGGGTGGGGAAGGGGATTGCTAGTTTTCTTTATAAACCTGAGAGCCCTGTGAGTTTTTTAAACCACAGGTATATCTTATATTGGTTTTATAAAAATACATTTTAAAAAAGAAATAAATTGGTACCAGCTTCTGCTGAATGATCTTCCAGGATTAGGTTTTAAATTGTGAGTATTTCTTGATACAGTACAACCTTGTTAATGTAGAACATAAGGAAAAAAAGCAATGTTATATTAAGAGATTCAGATTGTACAGTGTTTCTAATAAATAAAATTTCTCTAACAATAAAAAAACCCTGGAGACTTTAAGTCAGATAGGGAATTGCAATTATTTCCAATTATACACCATTTTGAACCAACAAAATTGCCTTCACAAGATTATACTGTATTCTAACTAAGGTACAGTAAATAGAAAATGCTCTCAAATAACAAACTGGCTGATGAGGAATCCTTGGTTTTAATTCTCTTATTCAATTTGAATTCAATTGAAGAAAATTTTTTTAAGATATAAACTGTAGGGGAAAGCAGATGGCAGTTTTATAGAACTTTTTGTTATTGATTCAGAGGTGAGCAACAGAAATGAATTCAAGAAGCAGGGAGAAAAGTAAGGAACGATGGCATAATTACTGAGAAAAGGACCATGTAGTAAAGCATTGAAGAGTATTTGTGGAGTTGATTTTGCAATAAGCTCACTTTTAAAAATTGCAGTGTGTCAGCAATTTCCAGACTGGGGAGGGGGTGGTGGAGAAAAAGGACCCAGTGTCTTCAACAAATAAACTTCAAGGAAAAAGAGAGATGGAAGAGAGACAGACAGATTTTTAGAAAGATTAAAACATATGTAACCAATTGTAGGCATTATTTGGATTTGGGTTTGAACAAACTATAAAAATATGATGACATAAGACAATTGGGAATTAGAATACTGGAGTTTGAGTATATCAAAGAATTGATGTTACTTTGGGAGGGAAATATGTTTAAAAGAGCAGTCCTTATTGTTTTAGACATATTTGCAAAAATACTTATGGCTGGAATGAAAGGAAATCTAGGACTTTGTTTCAAATAATTCAGACAGAAAAAAGCAGATGGAGGTAGAAATGGAGCAAGACTGACTATGGGTTAGTGGTTATTGGAAGTTGGGCAACAGATAACATTACATGGTTCCACATTTGTATATATTTGAAATTGCCCATAATACATTTTTTAAGGGAATGTGGTTTTTTTATTGTTTATATGTTTATGTGTTTTGATCTCTTATTTGAGATCTACTCTGGGAACCATTGGCCTGTGAAATTGGAGGTTTGGCAATGATCAGCGCATGGCAATTCTATTGCTAAGGTAGAGGTGTTCCAGGCCTCCTGGAATTCACACCTTTATGTAATCCCTTCCCTGTGAGTGCCCTTCTAACCAACAATATGGAAGGGTGATGGATGTGATTCTCTTGATTACTTCACATCAGTCCCTTAATTACTTTACATTATGTAAGACTCCCTCTTTCTAACACACTCATTCTTTCTGCCTTTGAAGGAGCAAGCTGCCATGTGCTGAAAAGGCGTATGGAGGGGTCATGTGACCAGGAGCTGGAGGTGGCCTCTGGCAGACAGCCAGTACGAAACCGGGTCCCTTTTGCTACTCTAAGGAAACAGATCTGCCAACAGATGAGTTAGTTTGGAAGCGGCTCCATCACCAGTCACATGTCAAGACCAAATGAAGCCCTGGGTGGTGTCTTAATTGCAGCTTTGTGAGATCTTAAACAGACGACTCTGCTAAGGCAGGTTAGACTCCTGACTCGTGGAAATGGTATAATTAATGTGTGTTGCTTAAAGCCACTAAGTCTATAGTCATTTCTCATGTAACCCAGAAAACTAATACAACTGCATTATAATTTTTCATCCCACAAGTTATATGTTAAAAAAAAAACATTTCAAGTACATTTCTGCTTATCTTAAATGAACAGCAGAAGGCAAGGTTAGATAAATGCATGACTACAAACCACACACTGACTGCCAAGTTTCTAATCATTTAAATATATGATACATTATACAGAATACCAAAATGTTGTGGAATATTTGCTTGAAGATCATGGATATGAATAATGACCATGGTACCAGTATTATGGGAGAGATTTGGTTATGTTAGATTCCTGGAATTTACATTCCATATTTGTATAGGATACTCGCATGTATAAGAAAGTAGAAACAATGCGTGCAGGCAACCTAGGAGGGCATTGGGCCAGATGTTATGTTCTTGGGTAGACACTACAAATACGTTTCTACTGTCAATGAAACACGCCATGTACTAAACACCATGATGACCTTGGACTCATGGGTTGTGGCTCCTGGTGGAACTGTATTTGCATAGACTCCTGATACCCACAGTGTCCAGAGAGACATGTCATTGGAAAAACTGATGATGTTATAAGTGTATTCACCTTATACCCAAGGGGGATGATTGACAATGATTTACTTTTCTGTCTTGATGGAATTTTTGTTTTCCTGCCTTTCGTTTGCTTGTTTTTGTTTGTCTCTTGTTTTCTGCAAGTTGGTTTGTTGCTATTGTTGGGGTAGTTGGTCTTATGGGGTTTTGAATTTGTCATAATACGACTGCTAAAACAAACCTGAGTCATACATATCCCAAGGACAAGCAGATGGATTCTTGGTCTCCACTGAACTCGAGCCCCAATCCAAGAAGAGTTAGTTCTGATAACATGGCCCTACTTGATACTCATCTTCATGAACTGATCACTGACGATAACGGTGCTACAGCAAAGTGTGATGAAGAAAGTAGATGGTACCCGGCTATCGATTGGAATAGTGTCTGGGGACTTAAAGGTTTGTATTCAAACAAGCAGGCATCTAAGCAAGGAGTCAACTAAGTCCACATGGAAGAAGCACACCAGCTTGTGTGATCCAAAGATGACAATTTAAAAATTCAAATAAGGCAAAGGGAAAACTATCAGAGTCTAAATTGCAAACACCCAATTTGCAGAAGGCTATGGAGGGCAGTGGGAGCCCAAAACCCATCTGTAGAAGATCTAGCCTGATTAAGCTGCTGGCAGTTCCCCCACGAGATTCTTTTAGGCACGAGCATTTCTTGCCTGTTCCATGACAAAAATTTCTTCCCTGGCCCTTTTAAATATGTACTGTGGTCTTTTCTCTATTACCCACTATTATTTTATCCATACCACTTTATTTTTGTCTGTTTTGACTGCTTCTGTTGGGTTTTCCAGTTTGTGAAGCACAGAAGGAATAGAGGCACAGAGATAAGAACTAATGCAAGGGTTTACAGGGGAGGGGGGTGAGGGTGGGAGTTAGGGAGGGTTGGGGGTTGCTGGAGCAAACAATGTATGTGGGAGGGGGAACAATCTCTAGACCTGATGGTGATTATGCAACTCATTTTCAAAGACATTTAGCGGGAAGGGAGGGGCAGAAAGTGTTCTGACATTGATTGTGGTAATGATTGTACAACTCTTCTTGATCTGATTGAATGATTGAA